ACTGCAGGATGTTGATGTGATAGGGACTGTAGCAGACCACGAAGACCAGCGACACGCAGCAGATGACGCCGATGGCCTTGCGGCTGCGTCCAGACTTTTCCGTGAGGTGGTTGGTCTTCGCTGTGGAGTGGAGTTTGGAGCAAAGGATGGAGTAGCACATCAGGATGGTGATTACGGGGATGACATAACCGAGGAACACTCCGCCGATGAGGATGGTTGCGATGTGGTCTACTTTCTCGAAATTAGGGTATTCCATGCAGGTGATGAAGCCGTCCGGTTCGACATTGGTCATTGCCATGCCAAGGAGTGGGAGTGTCTGCGCCAGGACCAGCAGCCACACGCCGACACAGATATAGCGCACGTTGCTAACATTGCGCAGCCGGGAAAAGCGCAGGGGCAGGACGACTGCGATGAAACGGTCGATGCTCAGGCAGGTCATGAAGTTGACACCGGCGTAGGTGTTGATGTAGAAGATGAGGCCTGAGATTTTGCACAGAGCCTCACCCAAGGCCCAGTGGAAACCCAGCGCATAGTATGTGATCCTCACAGGAAGTGACAGTGTGAAGAGGATGTCCGAAATCACCAAGTTGAGCGAGTACAAGGTGGTGGAGTTCATCTTTTTCAGGTTGGGGCGGATGACGTGTAGCGCCAGGGCATTGCCCAGCAGACCCACTAGGAAGACCGCGCAGTAAACGAGTGGCATTAAGACTCGGGCGTAGCTCCTGTGGTCATACAGGGTGTCGCAGGTGGAACCGTTGTCAGCGGACTGGTGGTCACCCATCATGGGAGAATGGGTGGTACCCATCTTGGTGTTCTGATTCTATGAAAATGAAACAATAAAACGGTGTTGGTTAAAGGTCGAAAAATTCATGTGTTGTTTTACTCTTGGTCTTGTAAAACCACAAGGGCACACATGATCTGAAGAGGAGGAGGAAGTCTGGCTAATTATTGCTCCTTTCCGTGACTCGGGCTCGCTTCCTTAAATGCTTATTTTTTTGTGACATTACAATTGTTGTTGGACTGTAACATTTCAACAAAAGTAAAGAAAACACATCCATCCGTTTGGTGACAAACGACCAGTCACGCTCCGATTCACACCTAATGGACCATTTCGAATCTTCAGTAAATCTAACGTGCTGTTTTTGGAATGTGGGAGGAA